TTCCCTACCGCCCATAGATGACTTAGTCGCCTCCGTCCTCGAAGATAAACTCGCTGGTGCTGCCGACGTCGCCATACTTCCCGCTTGCTAACAACACTAGGCAACCGGGCGGGTACTGAACGCTGATTGGGTAGTTAAAATACCCTCACAAAATATTTTCCAAAGGTTTTATATAAAATCAGGAGACTTTCGAAACCTCGTGGCATCATGAATTGTGATTTTTGAACATTTTCAGCGCTACATAACTGCCTGAAAAAGCATCCCATAATGCCTCGGAAACGGGCATTTTCCCACAATACCCCGCGCGAGTAATAGAATCCGGTTTCCCATGATCCTCTCTTCCTTTCCGCTGCTGGAGCTGCTGCTGCTGAAGCAGTTGCCGTCATTATGAAGTAAGAACCGGGTTCTGCCTCGGGGACCTAATCCGATTTCATCCTCCGGTTAGGACGCTGGCAGGCAGCTGAGACGCGGGTTTTTCGGCTTGCTAACCTTTTTTCCTTTCTTTTTTGCTGGCCTTTTCTCGCGATGCAGGGTCGAGTTGTGCAGCTTCAGCGGGTACAAGATCTACCCGGGCCATGGCCGCCGCTACGCGCGCACAGATGGCAAGGTAAGGAGAATAGAAATGTGGGCAGTAGTTGTGGCCTTTGCTGAGTCTTCGGTGTGGTTTGAGAACCATCTCTGTCCCTGGCTAATTCTAGTGTACTGTGATAGTAGGAGTTTCGGGACGAATTTGTAGCTGTTTAAAGAATTACCTTGTTTCTTATTCTTACCCTTCCTACTAAGGAGCTCAGAGTGGGATATTTTGCTCTTTCTTCATAATAATTTTGTGACCTAGGTGAAGCTGAAAGAGACAGGTTGCTGAAAAGTCATTTATGAGTATTTAGCTTAGTGGATAGTTGAGTCATAAGAACATAAGAGACGCCAATGTTGGATCAGGCCAAAGGCCCATCCAGTCCAACACTCTGTCACACAGTGGCCAAAAATACCAGGTGCCATCAGGAGGTCCACCAGTGGGGCCAGGACATTAGAAGCCCTCCCACTGTTGACCCCCCCCAAGCACCAAGAAGACAGAGCATCACTTGCCCCAGAGTCCCTATCTATACCTTGTGGCTAATAACCACTGATGGACCTCTGCTCCATATGCTTATCTAATTCCCTTTTGAATTAGAGTCAAGGTCTCTCCGGTCCTGGTTTCAAATCTGCAGCACTACGACTCCAAGATCTCTCTCTCGGTCAGTCTCTGCCAATTCAGACACCATCAATGTGTATTTATAGTTAGGATTTTTGACTCCAGTGTGCATCACTTTGCACTTGGCCACATTGAACCCCATTTGCCACATTGACGCCCACTCGGCCATCCTCGACAGATCCCTTTGGAGTGCCTCACAATCCTCCCATTGGTTCTGGTCCAACCTTCTGGAGCAACAGAAAACAACTCCACACCGTCCTCTGTATGACAGCCCTTCAAGTACTTGAAGATGGTTATCATATCACCTCTCAGTCATCTCCTCTCCAGGCTAAACATACCCAGCTCCTTCAACCTTTCTTCATAGGACTTGGTCTCCAGACCTCTCACCATCTTTGTTGCCCTCCTCTGGACATTTCCAGCTTGTCTATACCTTCTTAAATTGTGGTGCCCAAAACTGAGCACAGTACCCTAGGTGAGATCTAACCAGAGCAGAGCAAAGTGACACCATCACCTCATGTGATCTGGGCACTGTACTTCTGTTGATACAGCCCAAAATCACATTTGCCTTTTTAGCTACCACATCACACTGCTCACTCATGTTCAGTGTACGGTCTACTAAGCCCCCTAGGTCCTTTTTGCATATACCACTGCCAAGACAAGTCTCCCCCATACTATAATTATGCATTTGATTTTTTCTACCTAAGTGCAGAACTGTACATTTATCCCCATTGGAATTAATTTTATTTGTTTTAGCCCAGTTTTTCAGCCTGTCAGTATCACCCTGTATCCTGACTCTGTCTTCTACTGTATTTGCTATCCCTCCCAATTTAGTCTCATACAAATGCTTATTGTTTATAACATAGACACATATATTCTTTTAGTAATAATTGTTGTTCTCTTGTTATAGTGGGAACATTCTCATCTCATGATTTTATATACTCTGCTGTCCCAGGTAGTAGATTGGGACCTATGCATATTTCCTGATCTGAGGTGTTTTACATCACCAGCACTATCATTTTAAGTAGGAAATATTAAGAAATGGATTCACTGTTGTATGTTTGGGCTGAAGGTAGGCCCATGATCTGAAAAAGTTAAAGGCTTACTGCTGTAGGTTTCCCTTGCTCGAAAGCGAGTCGAATCCGACTCTTAAGGTGTGGTGCTCATCTTCCGTGGTCATGTCACCAGCATGACTAGCTGCCGAGGTGCACGGAACGTTGTTACCTTCCCACCGAAGCGGTACCTATTTATCTACTTGCAATTTCTTGCTTTCGAACAGCTAGGTTGGCAGGAGCTGGGACCAGAGACGGGAGCTCACTCCATCACGCAGCACTCGGGTCTCAAACTGCTGAACTACCAACCTTCCAGTCTGCAGTTCAGCGTCTTAACCACTTTAGAGGGCTTTAATTTTGTATCAGTGCAGTGTGCTATATTTGTGGCATGTAAACTGAATCCTAAATAACTGATCTAATAATGTTTGTATTACAGGTTTTTCAATTTCTTAATGCAAAATGTGAGTCAGCATTCCTCTCCAAGAGAAACCCCCGTCAAATCAACTGGACTGTTCTGTACCGGCGCAAGCACAAGAAAGGGCAGTCCGTAAGTATATTGCAACTTGTGTGATTATTTTCTAAGATGGAAAAAATGGTATGCAAGATGCTCACACTGTTTCATATTTAGTTTACTTCTTATGATTTATTGCATAGTGGGAAATACTTCATTACTGAATTTGGAAACTTGGTGTAGCAGCAATATGCTTGAGTTGGGCCAAACAGTGTTCGTTTGTGTGTGTAGTCCTTTCATAATCCCCTTTGTATGCAGATAAATCTTCTGCAATCACTGGGTGGTGTTCAATACCAGATACTTGTTAGTAGTGGCTTTCATGAAAATAAAAAAGCATCAAAACCTGTCACAGTAAACAAAAGGAGAATGTTTTTTGTGTATAACCAAAAGGAGAGGACCACTTGGGATTGGAAACCCATGAAATGAAGTACTGTTCTATAAACAAATGTAGCTAATTAGCTACCAGTTGGAGCCAGTTCAAGGAAAAGACATTGAACAAATGCTTTAAAGCCAAAAGCTCCAACAACTACTGGATTGAATATTATGATTTGGGAGAATATGGGTGTTCCTGTTTATGCATTTCTGAGATTCAAGCTGGGTTCAGTCCTCATATAACCATTTTCTGTCCTCTGGCATATCTTTAAATTTTGGACTTGGATCCAACAGGATTTGCCCATGGACAAAAGGATTTGTGGCCACTGAGAATGGCTTTCTTGCTTTTTAGATCCAAACCTATACTTTGTTTCCATTTGCACTATACGTTTGTACATTGTGGAGGCTGCCCTCTGTTGCAGAGAGCATTCCTCTGGTACTAAGCACTTCTTGAATTATTCAAAGATTGCATGAGCAGATGTGCCTGGCACATGATCCAGCAGTGGAGGACCCCCACTGTGACAGAAAAGTGCAAGTAGAAATAAGGTATAGGATCCCTTGGAATGAATGGTTGGTTGTCATTTATAGAAAGTTCTGTTTTCTTAGACAGCATTTGAAGGCGTGGGTAAGGTTGGTGTTTGATAAGCCTGACACCCCTTAATGTCATTTGGTTGGATCCTCAGCAGTTATTTTTGTATGAGTCGTTGATATCAGCTCATTCAAAACAAAATTATACATTTGTAACGGTAAAGCAGCAAGGATATGGCTCTGATACAGTTTATGCTGGGCAGGAGGGCAGGGCACTGATAGCTGTTCCTCATTCAGGATATCTATTTTACCGTAGAGATCTTTCATCTTTTTAAAAAGCCCTTGTATGTAGCACTCCATAAACACTCTGTATTTTGAGTCAAAGGCTGTTCAAAAGTGATACACTTAGTAACGTCCTCTGCTCTTATAGTATGGATAGATTTGTAGCAATTTTCTTTTTCCATGATTTAGGAAGAGGTGCAGAAGAAACGTACACGACGTGCTGTCAAGGGCCATAGAGCGATCACAGGTGCCTCTTTGGCTGAAATAATGGCTAAGAGAAATCAGAAACCTGAAGTGCGAAAGGCCCAAAGGGAGCAAGCCATTAGGTGAGTCATAACATTACTTTAGTATCATCAAGGTTAATTTATACCATTTATTTCCAATAATTCTCTGGTTTTCTGGTTGTGCTGTGCTGATTGACTGTTCATAAGCATGATGCTGTTGGTTGAATCTATATTTGTAATACTGAGTCTGAAAATATGGGCATGTGAACATTTTAGCATGCCATAGCCAAGCAAAACTTGTGATTACCAGGGTCTGTTGTGGCTCCCACCATGTGGAATGGCCTGTCTGAGGAAGTCAGGAAAACTCCCACTCTCCTTTCTGCAAACTATGCATAACTGAACTATTCAAGAGGGGTTTTCTGTGCAGGTAATAGGGTTGCACCATACAAAATGGTTCACAAACTTAGATGATTGGGATTTGTGGTCTGTACTGCTGTGTTTGGTGTATTGTAAGTAGGATCCTATTATGTAATTTCTGTACAACTTAATGTGTCATGTGAATACTTATGCTATGCTTCAGTTCTTTCTGGATGGTTCCAGACTTCTAATATCCTAAACCACTTGTTATTGAATGCCCCATTTTGTTGATTGTACTGATTCACTACGTGAAATCCTCCTTGAGTCCCTGTGAGAAAGCCAGACTGTAAATAACATAAATTAAAAAATCATACCCATCCCGTAATAGGAAAGCAGGGAAAGGTCTTCTCTCTGACATCAGACTGAGCTTTGGATGTACATGGAACATGGCTGAAACAAAGCACAACTCCAAGGACAGTTTCCTTAAGTTTAGGAGGAAGGCTGGAGCTCACTAACTGCTTTCAAGATGTTTGGAGCAGCATCAACCACCTCTAGTTATCATCCCAAATTTGGACTTGGAGAAAGGGATGAGAGTTCATTCCTCATAGTCACTCTGTGCTTCAAAGGCACACTGAGCACTTTGCTCAGTGAACTGCAGCTTATGCCTACCAGTGAGGAGAGGGATGCTCATCACAGTAAGATCCATGGTTAAATACAAACTATTGGCTTGGATTCATCAGTAATGTCCGTGGAATGTGACTTCCTCACCTCCCCCCTTCCACTGCAACCCAAAATGCTCCTAGGGGATAGGGGCCACTCAGGAACCACATGGGGAAGGTGTTTGAGGTTTGCTGTAGGAGGAGGAATCAGCAGAAATTGCTCCCTTCTTCCATGCATGGAACTCCTCTCTGGCATACAATCCTGTAATTTGAAAAACAGCATTGTTCTTGATGTGCTTATAAATTGCTAAGAAGGTATCAAATGTGGAGTAGTGCTACATTAGATAAAGCTTTGTGTTAATTTTTGATAATGTACATAAGAACATAAGAGACGCCAATGTTGGATCAGGCCAAAGGCCCATCCAGTCCAACACTGTGTCACACAGTGGCCAGAAATACCAGTGCCATCAGGAGGTCTACCAGTGGGGCCAGGTACATATAGGCCCCCGTCACACGGGGCCGGATATCGCGGGGGGAAGGCATGGCTAATTGCCCCCGTGCAGTTTGATCCACGATTACACGATCCGACGTGCAAGCGGCACACTATGGGTCCTTCCCTCGGTGCCGGCAGGTAAACGAGGGTGGCGATCACACGACGATCCTACAGCGCAGCAAAGAAGCGGCGCGATCACACAAGCAATGGCTAGGCGCCACTGCCATGACAAACGGGGTCATTTATTTTTTTTAAGCCGAAACGGCACTTTCGCTTTCCTCTTCGTGCGCATGCACCGTTGGGTGCTTGTGCGCATCTTGTGGAGATTTTGGGGGGGGGGGAACCTGTTCGCGAAGGGACATGGGCGGGCGCCGGATGCCAGCACCAGAAACGCGATCAGACGCCAGCCCTTGCCCCGCTGTTTCCGGAAACTAGTACCTCGGAGGTACTAGTTTTTAACTCCGCATCTTTGGCGGGAAGCCTTGGGTTCGCCACAGGAGCTCTATGCTTCCCAGATGTTGCGGTGTGATCACTCCCGGAAAATCCGCGTATCTTCCATCTCTGTAGCATGGCTAATGCTCCGTGTGACCACAGCCATAGTACACCTAAGTAGAAATGCCCATTTCTGTTGCCCATTTCTTTGTCCATTCTGGAATGTTGGCAGGCTTGTTAACTGTTATCTTGTAAACAATTTTCAGAGCTGCCAAGGAAGCAAAAAAGGCTAAGCAGGCGACCAAGAAGACAGTACCTTCCACAACAAAGGTGAGGCCCAACTAGGAAAGATGAGCTTGCATGCCTGTGTATTTTCTTCAGTGACATTTCTCAGTAAAAATGATGACAAAAACTGGTTGTAACCCTTCAATTGTCTACTTAATGAGTAATTAGTAATAGTTTGAATAGTAAAAATTTTGTTGTGAAAGTGATCGGTCAAAGCTCAACTTATAATAATTACATTATGCTGGTTCTTACTGAACTTAGTGGAGCATTGTTCTGGAAAGGCACTCATAGGATTGACCAGTCTTAATTCTGGAATCTCATGTTTTTGGTGTGCTTTCAAATTGAGTACAGTATAACAGGTACAGTTTTCAGTTTTAGACAGTATTGATTTCTCCCCCAGTCAACAGCTGAGGGAGCACAACCATACAGTACAAGTTCAAGTTTAGTTTATTGTCTTAGCCATTGGCCATAACACAAAATAAATCAAAACACAACCAACAGTATACATCAGTAACTTACAGTAAGTCCTAGACCCAGTCTTATCTTTTTCACCACCAGTGCAAACAAAGCCATTCTGCTAGTAACATGTGCATAATTAGCAAGAAAACAGTCAAATCCTGCTCTGAAATTCCATTATACAGAGGTACAATAGGATAAATAAACCTTTGCCTAAGTGATTTGTGCCATGAACATCTCAGAATGTAATGCTCGACATCATCCACTTCACCCATACTACAGAGGCATATTGTGGAGGCGGCAGGGACACCCCAAAAGCAGCCAATACAAACCATTGAGGGTATGACATGGAACCTTAGAGCAGTAAAAGCCCTTCTCAGCTCCAGAGTAGTTAGTTTCTCAAGATATACAGTCCTGCAATGATCTCTTTTAACGATCTTATACAAGGGGGCTGTACGGCAATTTACCACAACATGTCGGTTCAAAAGCCCATCCTTATTAAATACCCATTCCTTCAATTTAGACCTAACCCATACAGTATCACAGTATCTTTAAATCATCTAGGAAATAAATTGAAAGTTAGAAGGTTGCTTTCTTGTTTTCCAGGCTTGCCAGTCAGTTCCATGGATACAGTTCAGTATTATGTGTTACACCAGTTAGGAGGGGGGTTACATTACTTCTCTAGTTGAACACCTTGATAGGGAGAAAGTAGGTGAGAGCTGGTCCATTCAGCTTAATGGTTCCCCAGGGAAGTCCATGCCATGTGGTCATACGATAATCATATATCCTGATTATTTTCTATTGACAGGCACCTTCAAAGGCTGCACCAAAGCAGAAGATTGTGAAGCCAGTCAAAGTTTCTGCTCCTCGTGTTGGTGGAAAACGCTAACTTGTCATGGTGTTTTGGCTATGTCAAATAAATGTTTGACTTATATCTTGTATGTGTGACTTGATTTTGTGTAACTTTTTAGTTTGGAGTTGTGTATTAGTGAATTATAGGCAGAATGTGTAATAACAAAGTCTTTAAACATATGTCTAATGGGAAATGTGCAATTGCAAAGCTGTCCAATGATATGATACCAAGGAAAACCTCCATTATAGAGGCACCCTTGAAGCTCAATAGTAACTATAATAATATTTTTGCCTAGCTTGAATGCTTCATGTGAATGTAGCCTCAACTATGGCTTGATTTGGGGGGGGTGTCTGTGTATATGCTTGTTTGGGAATTGGTAAGAATAAATTATAACTTATAAATTATAAGTAAGGAGAGCAAATCAGTCAATCCTAAAAGAAATCAACCCTGACTGTTCCCTGGAAGGCCAGATACTGAAGCTGAAGCTCAAATACTTTGACCACAAAATGAGAAGGGAGCACTCACTGGAGAAGAAACTGATGCTGGGAAAGATTGAAGGTAAAAGAAAAAGGGGAAAACAAAGGATGAGATGGTTAGACAGTGTTGTTGATGCAGTGAACGTAAAATTAAGCAAACTCCAGAGCACGACAGAAGACAGGAGGGCCTGGCGTGATGTGGTCCATGGGTCCATAGGGATGGACTCGACTGTGCGACTGAACAACAGTAAAGAATAAGTTATATAGGAAAGTTACTACTTTACACAGAGTGGTTTAAAATGCAGAATTTGCTGCCAGAGGATGTAGTGATGGCCACAGGAACAGCTTTAAAAGGGGATTAGATAGGGGAACCTCCACATTCAGAGGCACTAAGCCTCTGCAGCCCAGAACCAGGAGGCAACATCAGGGGAAGGTCTCAGCCTCTATGCCTTGTTGGCCCTCCAGAGGAACTGCTTGGCCACTATGTGAGACATGATGCTGAACTAGATGGACCACTGGTCTGATCCAGCAGAGCTCCTATGTTCTTACATTATTTTTGACACCTGCCTGTAAATTAGTTGAGAATGATACTGTCATGCTTTAGATGAAATCCTTTGGCATGGTTCATGCTGATGAAAATGGGAAGAAGGGAGGGTCCCCCTTGACCACCCAAAAACGTTATGCTGGGGATCGTGAGACCTGCACGGACAAAAAGTCCTGATAAACAGGCTGTAGTTGGGTGAGACTGAGTGGAAAAGCTGGTTGGATCTGCCCCTGTATCTCTTGCTTGTTATAGCCTTTAGATTGTGAACACACTCTTCCTAGATGAAAAAATATCACCTAATACAATGCAGCATTATGTTTACACAGCTTCAAGGCAGTTAGGGTTTCAGGTCAACCTGGTATTGCACCAGATTATGTACCATTTTCCATAGGAGGGAGTGCTCATGCACTCTTGAGGCCTGCACTCATTAAGTTGCTTGATTAGAAAATACAGTTTTAAAACTAGCCTTTAATTTGGGAGTAGGCATCTTATTTTAGGAATTAGTTTAATTGTAGATAAAAGCAGTGTATTAAACTATTTGAAATGCCTGATTCTGAGTCCCAAAGTGAATCTCAGTATTAACTATTCATGCTAAGTACACATTTTTGACAGAAAGCATTTTGTAGTTGAATACTATTGTGACCACACTAATAAACACAGCAGGGAACTATATAAAGCTAAACAAAATGTCTTTTGTTTTAAAAAAAGAGGACATTAAATACAGTCAAGAAATTAAAAAAAACATTTTTATTACCTGGGTCTTTTGTAAGGTTATCCAGTCACAAAGGCTTATAAGAATAAACTTTGTTGAATTTATAGGTTTCACTGGACTCAATCTTTGTTCTATCATTCTACTATTAGAACAAATAGTTAATTTCTCAAGTTTGGAGAAGGAATGCAATTTAGCTCTACTCTAGTGTCATATAACTTCCTATGAATTCACTGAACAAACCTATACTTCTAATGTTATACTAATAAAACTAAATTCTAGATAAAATGTAACCAAATGAAGCCTAGATTTCTAGGTTCAGTAATGAGATGGGATGTTCACATTGTGTTTCAGCTGTAAATTTACAGATGGTTGGCTCTAGAACGTCTTGTCAATTTATTATCATGTAGATAGCAATAAACCTTGTGCTTGTGGGGAGACTACAGCTTGTCCTCTGCTAATTAAGTCACTCATGACATAATTTGGAAATTAGTGATAGTAAAAGCAGTGGGAGTTGTGCACTGCAATCTTACAGTGTTACTCCAGTCTAAGCCCATTGATTTCAGCAGCCTTTGGGTAACTGTACTGGATCGTGGTGTTAAGTACATCCACCAGTAAGTGGGTTTCCACTATTTGGTAAATACACAGCCTGCCAACTGATTGCCAGGAGGAGTTGGAGACTGAGATAGTGTGAAAAAGAATGGGGAACACTCAATGATGACTCAAATGAGAACTAGGGGAGGCCACCCCGAAGCAACATGGAATGGGGGCCGGTGGAAGCATCCGATCTAAAGGTTGGTTTGTTCAGGATAAAAAGACAACCCTTTAACTTGGACAGACATCCGACGTATGGTGCTGAGTTACCAGACTCTGCAACTACGTCGCTGTGTCAGGTTGTCTGCGTTACCACATATGCAGACACGTACTACTAAAAGCGCAGGTTTTCGGTTATATTACCTCGCTAGTTGAAGCCTTAAGAGACTCCACTTGAAGCAAAAAATCGGTAGTCCGCAAACTAGGCAACTTTACAATATATTAACTTGGTTTTCCCATATTACTGGGGAGAGCGCCACGGGAGGTTTTGCCCAATGCGGAGATGGTGGTGGCGACTAGCCAAGGCGGGTCTACAGTGGCATCCACGAAAACGGCCTCTCACTCGGCAGCGTCTGCCCGGTTCCAACATGGCGCTCGCTCCCTTAAACCACTTCCCCTCTCATCTCCGCAAAGAGCTGGTCCACATTTTCCTGGACCTCACTTCCGCTTGTGCAGCAGCCATTTTGTCTTTCCGTTGATCCTCCCCCTCCCCCACCCTATTCCTTCCCTTAGGTCCGCGATCTCTCCGATACCTGTGACAGCAGCAGCGTCCCCCGCTCCCTAGCCCACCTTGTCCTCCGCCAAGCTTCCCCCCCTTCCCCGGCACCTACCGTGGGGGACCGCAAATGCTCCCCACCCGCTCTCTCCGCCTCCTTCCCCACTAGCAGCAGCAGCAGCAGCAGCCCCGCTTGCCTTGAGCGGCCGAGCCGTCCCCTCCCCTCCTCGGCGCGCCATGTCGAGCGAGGAGAGCTACCTGGCCATCCTGCGCTACCTGACCAACGAGCGCGAGCCCTACGCGCCGGGCACCGAAGGCAACGCCAAGCGCAAGATCCGCAAGGCCGCCGCCTGCTACGTCGTCCGCGGCGGCACCCTCTACTACCAGCGCCGGCAGCGGCACCAGCGGCGCTTCGCCGAGCTCGAGGTGGTCCTGCAGGCCGAGCGCCGCGCCCGCCTCATCCGGGCTGCGCACCTGGACGCCGACGGCACCCACCGGACTCGCCTGCAGACATGGCAGCGCCTCTCCCGGCGCTACTGGTGGCGAGGTGAGGGGAGGTGGCGGCGGCGGGAGGGCTGGTGGCGGGAAGGAGGGACACGGAGGCACCGAGCGTGGGAGCCGCCTCGCCTGGCCCGGGCGGAATGTGCTCTTCTTACAGGCTCCCGGAGCCCCGGAGGAAGGCTGGCCGCTCGCCTGGAATGAACTCCCTGGAAAAAGGTTCCGCTCACACAAAGGGTCCTCGAAGGAGAACGCTGTCCGCTCCGGCAGAATCTTGCTCCCTTTCCTTTAGTTTTCTCATCGGAAGTGATGGCCTTTAAGATAATATTGGGCATCCGTATTGCTCGTCGTCTGAGGTGTCCAAAGCTCTTTAGGTTATCTCAGTAAGCACTACAGTTATCTTGTCAGGGATCCAGTGTTATTCCTACACAGCCCAATCTAGGGTTGCCAGCCCTGGGTTGGGAAATACCTGGAGATTTGTGGGGTGGAACCTAAGGAGGGGCAGGGCTGGGGGTGGGACTTCAATGGGGTCTAATGCCATAGTCCACCTCCCCAAATGGCCATTTTCTCCAGGTGAACTGATATCTGTTGCCTGGAGATCAATTGTAATAGTGGGAGATCTCCAGCCACTACGTGGATGTTGGCAACCATAGCCCAATTACACCTGTATTTACTCAGCAGCTGCTTCTGATCTCCACTGACTGAGAATTCATATATCCGAAGAGGCTGAAAGCTGACTTGCCAAGTAAATGAAAGGATTCCTGTGACTTTTCCTATAACAAACTAACAGTTATTCCCATGGGAAGTAGGACTCCAAATATGGGAGAAAGATAATCCCAAGCATATTTGAAATTAAATGGTCTTGTAGACACATTTCTTGGACTAGAACCCACTCAATCAGATGCATTGTGTATCTGTCCTCAACTGGCTGTATTATGTTTACATCTGTGGGATGGGCTTTTGGATAGTCAAGCATTTTGGCTGCAGCTGATCTTTAAACTCTTGGGAGCACATTCTGTATCAATAAGGAGCTGCTTTCGTTTAAGTTTTTGGAGTGAAAATGAGAATGGTTGTTGTCTAGCTTGTTGCATAGCTGAATCTGTTTTGAAAATAATGGTACAGAACATTGTAGTAGGACAACTTGATTAGATAGTAGTCCTTTGGAGAGATTAAGGTTACAGAGATTCTCCAAGAGCATCCATACTGTGGCCTGAAGGCCACCACTAGCCCATGAACACTTTGCATCCAGCAGTCATACTACCCTGCTAGTGTACAGGTTAGCTTTGGCCCCGGTCACACGGCAAAGTTGCCGCGGGAGAGGCACGGATGGTGGACGGTTTATCCGGGCGCGATCACACCTCAACATCTGGGAAGTGGAGCGCACCCATGGCTTACTGCCTAAAATGCGCGTTAAAAAAGTAGTACCTCGAAAGTACTAGTAAACGTTTGCCACGGGCTGCCTCCAGACTCCCGTGATCGTGCCGATGCGCGGCATCCCCCTCCGGTCCCTCGTTTACCCGCCAGCGCCGAGGGAAGGACCCATGGTGTGCTGCCGGCGCGTCTGATCATGTAATCGCGGATCAAACTGCGCCGGGGCAATTAGCCACGCCTCCCCCCTGCGATATCTGGCAGTGTGACCGGGTCCTTTGTACCTCTAATGATGTGCCTGAAAGCAAAAACAGGCATATCTAAAGTGACACAGATCCCTCAGTGTCATGGATCATGCATGCACCATGCATCCCTTAGATCTATAAAGTGGAGAGACTGTTCCCATTTAGAGATCCTAGAGCATCTGGGGCATGTGTGGCAAAGAATGAAAGTAGACCATGCCCTTGCTCAGTCTACCAAATTGTTATGGGTAGTAATGGTGTAAGGCATTTCTGTATTACCTGTACAGGATCTTCTCTAAGACTTGATCTTTATAAGTCTACAATAAAGGTTGAGGGGAAATTTGACCAGCTCTTAGTCAATAAGTTGAAAATGACACTGGCAAAGTCTTATTTTTTCGTAGGGGGTAACTTACTGCTTTCTAGACACAAGTACAGCTGAATATTTTGTAGAGGTTGTAAAAGCAAACATCAGCTACAAAGGTGCTCAAGCCTTGCAGCCCGAGGGTTGTCTTGTTTTAGATAGTAAAATGAACAACCTCTAGCAAGCAGATAATTTTCTGCTCAAGAGTGTTTCTTGGAGGGAAAACAGGATTTTGAAGTGGGTCTAATCAAAGTATTTCCTATGAGCTTCCCGTGCTGTTGATTCAACAAGAGACTGGCAGAACCCCAAAAAGGGAAATTCTGTGTTATGCAAAAATTCTGCAACATTTTCTCATGTGGACTGTGTTTATGCTTGGTGCACAATTGTCATGATCTGGCATATGTACTAATGGGGGGGGGGATAAGTACTGTTTCTGTGTATCTTTCAGGATTGGGTGCCCTTAAACAATACATGGAATCCTGATGCTGGCTAAGCTATGTAGGAAGATCTGTAGGAAAGTGCTGGCATTAGTTTGTTGGTTCCATCAGTTTCTAATAGAAAGCTGGGTTTCACAAATAGTAGCTGTACTATTATTTTCTGCTAATCAGCTCCAAAATCTAATCCCACAGCAGTATTACCTGGTATTGTCTTGTTATGGTTAAACTTATGAGACATTATACTAACTTTGTTAAGAAAAAGGAAAACTATTCTTGTAATTGCAAGACTCATGCCGTTCAAGCTTATTTAAATTAATTAGTACATGAAATGGCTTTTATTTTCGAGCTGTGGTTACTTTTGTAACTTTTTGACTAATTTGCCCTTTCAATTAAAAAATAATTAGCAAATACCTAATTTTTACAAGAAAAGTTCAAATACTATAGAAAGTGTACATTTTGGGGTGAAGAGATTTGGACCAATCCATAACTTATTTACAATTTGGGCTTTGTACCATAAAATCTATGGAGTATTTGAGCTTTATAAACAGTGTTGTTAGGATCCAGAGAGCCTTTCTGCAGGTGAAAATAAATGGAGGGGTCTCCTTCAACCACCCAAAATGGCTATGCTGAGGATTATGGGACTTGCAAGGACAGAAGTTGTGTGGGAGTGGAGCTATAGCAAGAAACAAAGTTCAGTGAGCTTTAGCAAAAAGGCTGGCTGGATCCAACCTTATGTATTTGCTTTTAAAACCCTGTGTTATGCTTAGTTTTAGAGTTTGTATTTTTTAAAACAAAACTCAAAGGAACTGACAAGTTTTACTAGAACAAGGAATTCTGTGCACTTTAAAGCCTTTTACCACATTTTTGGTGGCAAGAATTTCTAGATTCAGCTTTTTCAGATAGAGTTTTTTCAAATAACAGGAGGGGTTTGTCTTCCTGCAGAGCGCATACTTAATATGCAAAAGGCCTCCCAGTTAAAATATTGAAATTGCCAGATAAATGGGTCTCTGGTAGCTGGGCTGGGAACAGTCTGTGAATAGTATAATGAGGTCCAACATCCATTAGAGTAAACAGTGCTGTGCTAGTTGGTCTGATTCAGTATAAGGCAGCTTCATATGTTCAAGCCTGCAATCTTACGTAGTTAAATGGCAGAAAGTACAATTAAATTCAGTGGAATTTGCATATCATTATTTCAGCATCACTGAAAGTCCATGGCCTCTATGTTTGGAAAAGTTTTTAGTAGCTTTTAATAGTGTTGTATGCAGGGGTCATTTCGTAGAAAAAGAGGTGCAGGAGCTCATGAGCATACCTCATTAGCATAACTTATTTGCATATGCCACACTCCCTGACATCACCAGAAGTGTGTCAGAAGGCAACACCCACTGCAACTTTCCTGGCTGCTTCTTGCTCCTCGTGGCCCAGGGCTGCTGGGAGCAGGGGGCGGGGCATCTTGCATGTGCCTGCCCCCTGGGCTCTGTAGTGCCGGAGCTCCGCTCCTGTGCACTCCTGCAGGAAATGACCCCTGGATGTATGTGTGCTATTCCTGTCTTTATACACCCCGCACCCCCACTGACTGAAGGACAGGATACAGAAAGGATAGTCAGATATTAAGAGGAGCTGCTTTTGATGCACAGAAAAATCTGGGCTGAAATTAAAGTAAAAATTGACTATAAGGTCTTTAAGGCACTGTTGAATAAATTCCTTTGCCTTAGACACTTGCTGTAAAGGAAGTCTTGTTACTGGTAAGTTGTTAAACTTTTCTGTAGAATGCTAATCACGTTCATGAAAGACAGATTGGGTCACCTAATTTACTGTTGAGGATACCTGAAATACCATGAGCAAAGCCGTCCTTTATGGTGTAAATAAAATCAAAAATTCAAAAGACTTTTTATTCCTTTCCTTAGGTATTCTAAAGCAAGTCAAAGATTACATTAAAGAATGTAGCAAGTGCCAAGAAAAATTAGATCGTTCCAGATCCTTGTCAGATCCTTCTGAAATGCTGGAAGAACTTGGATTAGACACAGCTCTGCACGAAGACAGTAATGAAACAGATGATGAATTAAGTAACTCTGCATCACTTCCAGCTGCATCACCAAAGCCTGTGAAAAAGAAGCCAATAGCCAAACATGAGCTTGTATTTGTAAGTTGCATTCAATGTACCTTGGTACAGGAGGCTAGTTTACATTTTTATTTCTTATTCCTATGTAGAGAACTGAAGGGCATCGGTATTGGGGGGCAAACCTTTTCTTGCCCACAGACAGTCCCCCAATCTTAAACAACTCCTCACCCTCAATAATACAGCATCGAATTTGAACTTGGACACTGGTACCAGAGCTTGCAGTAAACTCAGATGCAAACTTTGCTGCCACATACACCTAGACAATAAAATCACTGGACCTAACAACATCAACTACACCATTTCAGGCTCATTCATCTTCTAACATTGTCTATACCATTAAATGTCAACAGTGCCCTTCAGTTCTCTACACAGGGCAAACAGGTCAAACCCTACACCAAAGGTTAAATGGACACAAATCTGACATCAAGAATCACAAGACTGCGAAACCTGTAGGAGAACACTTCAGCCTTCCAGGACATTCAGTGGGGGACCTCAAAGTAGCTGTTTTATTACACAGGAACCTCAGAAACAGACTAGAACGGGGAAATTGCTGAGTTACAAGTTATTACAACGCTCAGGACAATGGAACCCCCAGGGCTTAAAAAGGATATTGATTTCTTATCTCAGTACACATGCTAATGTCATTCGGTTCTTGCATCTGTTGTAAACGCCTTTATTATGCTGTATGCTCATTTGTTGCTGTTCACAGGTTTATCAATTGCCTTCATCCAGTCTTAGCTATATCTACTGCTCAGTTAGTTATGCATCTTGACTCTAATTGGCCCTTCCTGGCAACACCCTCCTCACCCTCTACCTATATGTAATGGTTGGTGACTTCTGTTTCGATGTATCTGAAGAAGTGTGCAGGCACACGAAAGCTTATGCCCAGAATAAAGCTCTGTTGGTCTTAAAGGCACCACTGGACTCAGACTTTGTTCTATTACTTCAGACTAACACAGCTACTCACTGGATCCTTTAAAGAAATACATCTCTCCCTTATAATAAAAGAGTAGTGGGTGCCAAAATTCTAAAATGCGCCCCGTTAGTGTATGGCCGGAAGAATTGCCACTCAGAAGACGCTGGCTGCGATGACTGGCTCCCTCAGTGAACCTGGGCTGCCATTGGCTGGGTGGCTGGGAGGGGAGGGAGCCAGTATCACAGCCAGCGTCTTCTGAGGGCAATTCTTCTGGCCATAAACTAACCCGCCACATTCAGGACAGTGGCGAACGGAGCCGGAGGCCCCCCCGCCCGCACTCCAGGCCGGCGGACGAGGCCTGCAGCCTCCGTCTGCCGGTTCCCCCCGCCCGCTCTCCAGGCCGGCGGACGAGGCCTGCAGCCTCCGTCCGCCAATACCTTTTGACGCCGGCGGACTAGGCCTCCAGGGCCCATCCGCCGGCTCCCCCTACCCTCCTGCACCCAGTCCAGGCCGGCGGACGAGCCCTCCAGGGCCCGTCCACCGGTTCCCCCCACCCCCCGCCCCCCAGTCCAGGCCGGGTCCGTTCCACTGGGTCCGCTCCCCCCCTCCTTTTTCTCTCTCTCCCCTCCCAACATTCTCTCTCTCACTCACTCTGTTTCCCCCCTCTCTTTGTTTCTCTGCCCTTCTTCCTTCTCAACTATCCTTCGTCCCATTCACTCTCTCTCACTCTCTGTCTTTCTACCCATCTTCCTTCCTTCCTTCCTTCCTTCCTTCCTTCCTTCCTTCCTTCCTCCCTTCCTTCCTAGCTTTCTTCCTTCCTTCCTTTCCAAATTACTAACATTAACCCCACTCTGTCTCCCCCCCTTTTCTCTCTTTCCCCCCTCTCTAACTCTGTCTCTCTCTCTCTACCTCCTGTTCTCCATTCCTCCCTTCCACTCGCCCTTCCTTCCTATCTAGGGCCCGTCGTCTACCGCCACGACGGGCTTTGCTTACTAGTTTAAAATAAGTCAAAATGAATTTGTTTTATGTCACAAAGAACATAAATATTATTTGCTGTATTTTTATCCTTCTCAAAGGGGCTAACAATTTTTTAAATCCAGTGGGTGGAATCCAGACTGCCAGTAAATTTTCCACTAACATAAGGGATGGGATAATTTCCACCAACTCTATATTCCTTCTGAAGACTTCCAGTTTGCCTCTCATTCTGCCTCAGAGGGTCCCCTGTCCCCCAGGAGCAGCATTTTAGGAAGATCTGTGGCTGCAGTCGGGAGGCAGGAATATTCTGTTCCACTGACAAATGTGTCTCGGGTAACCAGAAAATTTAGTCTAAATCCCATCCATTACCCTTACTGACTACAAAATATGATTCAGGGAGGGAAACATTTTTCTAGTTATTCACTAGAAACATTTTGAAAGGTTCGTTGAAAGTTAATATGCTGCTTCTTGCATTTTTTTAAATGCCAGGTTGATAGTAAAGGCCTTGTGAAACAGTCTTCTTCAAAGCATTCTCAGTCAGTCTTGAATCAGCTGAATCAACAACGGCTATCCAATCAATTCTGTGATGTTACTTTGCTCATTGAAGGAGAAGTATACAAAGCACACAAATCTGTTTTGGCAGCTAATAGTGAGTACTTCAGAGAACTCTTTATCGAAAAGGGAGCTGTTTCCAGTCATGAAGCTGTAGTGGATCTTTCAGGTAAATTTATCTGACAAGAACCATGTAGAAAATAAGTTCATTGAACTCTTGTGGTCAAAGATTGGTTGATCAAATATAATTGTAGATAAACTCCTTGCTGTGTTTTTGAAAGCTTGTGGAGTATTTCCCCCCCAATAGAACTGAGGTTGTTTGCTGTTTGGCTTGATCTTGGTTATTGTGCTATCCGGTTACATCGGCCAAGTTTAAAGTAGGCATGTCCTTTATCTGCACAGCTTCCCTTTACTGGCCCGTATCCTACTACTCCACAGCAAGGTTTGACTCCTCTCTCCAGCCTAAGGAGCATTGCTCCAACTTAACTTCCTCCAATGGAAGAGGCACTCGAGTTGGAGAGAGCCTCCATAGGCAGGAAGAAGCCCTCAGACTTTGCTGAGTAGAGGGTACAGGCTGTTATATGTTGCCCTTAACAAAATATAATTAAACTGCATTAATAGATATTACTGAATTTTTGCATGCTTGATCTGAATACACAGAAATGTCCTGGAATCACAGTAGAAGGAATATACTCTACCTAGCTTTGGAGTAGGCTTCAGTCAGACTGATGGAATAAGTGTTTCTCATTCATGCAAGTTGTTATGATGAGAGCCTTTTACCCAATCATGAATATGGCAGCTGGCATAGCTATAGTTCTTATGTAGTTTGCTTATTTTGAGCAAGCGGTAGCTGCACAACTCAGGCTGAAGAGACTCAAATCTAATTTTCAGATACTGTACAACCAAATCTAGGTAATTGTATTAACACTAACGTTAACATTTTACAAGGTAAAGAATACAAATATTGTTTGATATGGTCCTGCAGTATAGTTCTCTGCTTTCTGTATATTTAGACTTGCAGTTTAATAAATAACTTGGAGCATTATGTTTTGCTTTAGAACAAAGATGGGTTCCCACATAAGCCTCTTAATGAGGCTACAAACACATGAAACCCCCCCTATTTCTGCTTGTATAGGCTTCCAAAAGAACGGAGAGGTCTCAATTTCACTAGAAGCCAAAATAGGCAAGTATTGCTTGAGAAGGCTTCAAATGCAATCTGATTTCTGTGACGTGTACACAGATAAGGCTGTTGCTGCCACCACCACTACACGCAGTCTCTGGTTTCTAGCATCCTTCAGCTTCTAAGCCCTCTTCTTTATTTCTTGTTTGTTTGAAGCTATAATATACTCTGAGGACTTTGTGCATATAGTTTCAAATTGTTGCTGCAGTCAGTAATTTTCTAGTAAAAGCATTAATTCGTTTTAAATTAAACTGGGGAATCATCTCTGCACACTCTTCTGATGTCTTATTTCTTATTTGGTGCAGGGTTTTGCAAGGCCAGTTTCCTGCCTTTACTGGAATTTGCTTATACCTCAGAGTTGACTTTTGATTTCTGTAACATGGCAGAATTAGCAGTGCTGGCTCGACATCTCTTCATGACAGAAGTCCTAGAAATCTGTGAAAATGTGCACAAACAAATGGAAGATAAACAAATCACAGTGTACCAGAAAGGGGATGTTCAGGTAGTTGAGGTAGCACAGAATCTTTTAGCGCCAACTGAAAACGGGGCTAACGCTGCAGACGGGACTGAGCAGCCTTCACCCACAGAAGATGCAGTTGCAACCGTGAATGGAGCATATTCAAGCACTGAAGTGGAAGAGCTGACTGAGTCAGAGGCTGTCCTGCAAACTGCACCAGAACCCCCTGTGGACGATGCTCCAAAGCCTGAGGTGCATTCTACTGCTACAGAGACAGCTGAAAGCAATGTAAAAGCCCCAGCAGAGGAAGTCATCACAGATCAGAGTGTATCTGTGGAGCAGTCTGAGTCTTCAGCAGTGGAGCAAGAAGTCATCAGCACTCCAGCAGAAACTGAGGCTGATAAAAATGTAAGCGGTGAACAAAACACAAGCGGTGAATTAACTGCAGAGGCTGCTGCTGAAGATTCCCAGGAAGGATTTAAACGGAAACGCGGTAGGCCATGTAAAACACAGAGCACTCCATTGTCTCAGTCAGAGATCTCCGTTTCCATTCAAGATGACACTTACAAAAGCAAGCTTCGCCAACGGTCTGTTAGTGAAGGTGGCTATATCAAATTGCACAAGGGCGTTGAGAAAAAACTACAGAATAGAAAGCCAGCCACCAAATCAGCCATCCAACAGGTATAAGAGATACTTAAAAATTTGTAGTGTGTTGTCTTCAGTTTGGTCTCTCATGATGATGTCTTTTGGCATGCAAATTGCTCTTTGGTACTCTTTGTGTCACTGATTTTATCATTAGGTGCTCAGCTTACATTCATTTTCGCTAGCAGCTGACACTTTTTTAATTTTCTAACTAGGTTGCCATGAAGCTAGTACAAAGAGGCAAAAAGATGAAGCAGCCCAAGAGAGATACTGTGGAGCACAATGAGGCAGAAGCACAGCACAAATGCAGTGAATGTGGAATGATTTTTCAGAGACGTTATGCCCTTATAATGCACACATTGAAGCATGAAAGGACGAAAAATTATAAATGTCCAGTGAGTTGATCTTGAAATATACCCTGTGTAGATGCATGTTCTGTAACCCTGCTAGTCTGTGGGTTGAGGTCCTGCCAGTATTTCCCAGGTGGGTGGGGATGATCTCCTGTGATTTCTTTCGTCACTGGAGCCTTGTCCCATGTGGCAGTCTTTCCACATGGGTCCCACAATCTATGGCATAGCCTTTTTGGAGCTCAAAAAGATCATTGCTCCAGCAGAAAAGCTGGTAGGATCCAACCATATGCAAATAACTATTTTAAGTATTGTGTTTTTCTGGTTGTTTATAGCCCAGCGTTACCACTTGAAGTACTCTCTGGTTAGGTGCCTTGGTTGTCTTTTAAGAAGCCTTCTGATTCTGTGCTTATTCCAATAATGTAGCTGATCTATAATGTTTCAATCTTCTCACCGGTTAGCTTCTTAGAAGAAAATAACTATTCTACATTGAACGTTGAAACTTTCTTTCAGTCCTTTGTTTTAGTGATTTTATAGTTATGAGGTCACCTAGTCTTGGAGTATTACATGGAAAATGTACTGTTTTTTCAAGGGTGTGTACTGCAGGTGAATAGATTCACACTAGTCTGAGCAATCTTTTAGAATTCCAGATTTCATTAGTCTATCAGAGTCACACCTTTTATGTACATAGCATTTGCAGACTTGGAAGTAACTCCTACCTTTACAAAAATGTGGTATGCATGCTGGTTTTTGACTTTGTGCTGTGATCACAGGTACATTTTCTATGAGAAATCAATGCACATTTTTGTTGTTCCAGCTATGTAAAAAAGAGTTCCAGTATGGTGCCTCATTACGAGCTCACCTTGTTCGTCATACTCGGAAAAACGAAGTGACTGTTGCAACTGCCAGTATTGAAGAGAGTGGTGCAGCTGCAAAGGGCAGAACTAAACGGGAGTTTATATGTGATATATGTGGAAGAAGTTTGCCTAAACTCTATTCCTTGAGAATTCATATGCTGAAACATACAGGTGTAAAGCCACATGCATGTAAGGTAAAATAATAATAATAAAGCTATTTCTCAGTGTACTCACTTTCTTGATGCAAATTTTGCATATTCAAGCCATGTCTCTAAAAGTTCAATTATTAACTAAAAGAACAGAACTTCAAATATCGTTGCATACAAGTTAAGGGAAAAGTGTGGTCAGTTGTAATTAAAGTCATACTTCGGGTAGCTTTAGGAATAAAGGCAGAGGTGCTATGGAATCTTTCTTGAAATTAGTTAATGGGCAGTGATGCTGTTTGCCACATTCCTTTCCCTCCAGCTGTGCTTTCTGACCCTGGGGAAAGTCGATCTCTGGAACTGTGAGACCCATGTGAACAAATACCCTTGTAGATGAGGTGGGGCTGTAGTGAAGAGGGTGCAAAGTGCAAAATCTCATTTCTACCAGAAGTGCAGCTTTGCCAACGGAAGCAGGGGGACTGGGGACTTCTCCCCCTTTCCCTTCCTCACTGCAGCAGCTGACCTATTAGTCCATTCATATGCTATGATCCCAGGAATCAGTGTTCCTGGGATTGGTGGGGAGGGGAAGATGGCAGAAGTCTACATCTGCCAGCACCTTTAACTGACTGCTCCCTGGATCCATCCCAGTACCTCTGTTCGATGCTTCCTAAGAAAGATGAAAATTCATCATATCCTAGACACTCCACATTTTACTGACTTGGATTGAAACTCAAGATTTTTGAAATTACTATTCCTATGGTACCTTAACTGTTCTTTTGGTATGAGGGCTGGCAGTTTGTTCATACATTGTGTTGGAAGATCTGCTCCACCAATGGTGACAGTGTTCTCCAGTAGAGGAAACTCATCTGTCAGCAGGAGGTTCTTGTGTAGGAAGAAGGGTGCCACCATTAGTGGAATGGATCCGTAGGATCTAAGCCAGTGAGTTTGGCAGCAAAGTTGTCCAGTCTTTTGGTGTGACTATATATCTCATGATATTTGCAGGTTTACAGTTGGTTTGGGGTAATAGGTGATAGAGTTGCACGGCTCTTTGCAACTGAAGGTTTGAAATTAAAATTTGTGTGTTGTAGGAGGCTTCTAAAAGCATTGGTTGAAATCTCAGTTTGAATTATAATTAAACATTGACAATATTTGTATGCACCAAAAATGAACCTCTCAAGTATTTTTAAGCTTGAACTTACTTCCTTGGTAAGTTTCTCTTCATTGGAATTTTGTCATCTTCAGCAATATAAATTTTGTCTTTTCCTGAAACAA